TGGTCTATTGTGCGTTCTGTGCGTTGCGTGCCTGTCTGCGTGCGTGCCGCTGCTGGTGCGCTGGTTGTGTGTGTGTGATGTGTTGTGTGTGTGTGATGGGTGCCGGTGAGTGTGTGCTGCTGTGTGTGCGTGTGTGTGTGGTGTAGTGTTCGCGCGATCGATTCGGAGCAGCAGCTCGCTTATAGGTAGGGGCACACGATTGCGTATTTTTTCGCCCCGATTCGGCTGCCGATTTTTAAATCGCTCGCAAAATTCTGCCCTGTGTCCCGGTTCACGTCGACGCGATTCGTACGCCCGTACGAATTCGCCCGCTATCAAAATGTTAAGATATTTCAGGCCGATATTTACGCGGCGATTATGGCGATTAATTTACGCTGGCCAAATGCGCTCGCGGGCTGTGCCCGTGTCCGGGCGTATTTCTGTCGAGCTGATCATTTTTTGTAATACCAAATCGGAGTTGTTTGTTGATATCATGCTGATGTCCGTGATTCGTCGTCATGTGATGCCCGCGCCTGTGTGCTTTCCGCCTCGAGTGGCGATACGCGTACGCTCTCAAATTCGCCTACGTGCTAGCCCCTTCGTGCCATCGTGGTGTAAATTCCGCTGGCGATTTTATATTCGCTCGCGATCGTGCGAAAAAATACGCTTCGTGTGCTCCCAGCCTTTACAGTATAATGTGGTATACATATATACAGTATATATATTATATACTATACACATACCAGTTACTTTGCCTGGCGGAGGTAGTGCCCTCTCCGTGCGGTGCCCTACTGCTCTAGTTTCGTGTTTAATAATTTGCGCGCTCTCAGGCCAGTGTATGATTGTCCATGCCATACCTAGACTGAATGCCTCTATACCACATCGGCATGCCTGTATCGTCGTTATTTGCATAAAGCGATTCCGAGAAGAGAAGAGCAGGGAACGGCAGGAGAGAGAGAGAAAGACAGCATGGAGACACAGAGATGAAAGAGAGATACACACCCACATGCTACACACCGCCCACGCACACACACGCACACACGCCACACGCACGCACACACGCACACACGCACACACGCACAGTCGGCCACCACACACAGTATACACACACTGCGTGCGCCCGCGCACACACACAGCACACACGCCGCGCACCACACCGCCCACACACACGCACACGTACACACGCACACACAGAGGAAGCGAGCCCCAGACAGCTAGAGAGAACGAAGAGAAGAGCAGCCAGACGAGAGAGAGAGAGAAGAGAGAGAGCATTGATCCAGAGAGGAGAGGATCGAGAGAGAGAGAGAGAGCAGAGCAGTACGAAGTGACGGTGCAGCGAGCAGAGAGACAGACAGCGAGCAGACGATAGAGATAAGGCAGTAGAGAGAGCACACGCCACCCGCGACTCCCCCCCCCTCGAGAGAGAGAGAGAGAGAGAGAGAGAGCACCGAAATAGCAGGAGCAGAGCAGCAGAGATGACGAGCAGCAGAGCATGAGCCAGAGAGAGATCGATCGTAGAGATATGAGCAGAGAGAGAGCCAGACAGAGAAGGACAGAGACAGAAGACAGAGACAGAGACAGAGACACGAGACAGGCGACAGAGCAGGTATGACGATCGGAAGAGAGAGAGAGGAGATATCGCGCTGAGACGCAGCCAGAGTAAGCAGAGAGGAGAGGAGAGGCCACGAGAGAGAGATGCATTCCGGCTAGAGGCATCGAGAGATGGTATAGCAGAGTAGCCGAGGATCGATGAGCACCCAGAGCCCAATAGCTACACACGTTCGTGAACTCCGCAGTCATTCAACTTCTCGAGCGCTCTTGAAATCAGCGAGCCAGAATAATTAGATAACCGAACCCAGCTTAATAACCAAACACTCGCAGCCAAAACACTAAAATCCCCACTCCGCCCAACGAACCCGTACCTCTCTCCCTCTCCCTCTCTCACATAATAACAGAAATTCACTCTTCTCTCCTCTATATATATATATATCTGGTGTCTGATCTGTCTCTCTCTTATATCTCTCTTTTTCTCTGTGTTCTCTCTCTTCTCTCTCTCTCTCTCTCTCTCTCTCTCACTGCTCAACAGAAGTCAACACCAATAAGAATTCACTATTTTAAATGTATAATTTTAATTAGTTTTAATTACAATCACTCAAAAATATTTATTTAGAATTGAAAATACGGCCAAAGCATACTAGTATTTATGGCATTTCATAGGCTGCAGCCATATTTGAAAATATGCAATGAGCGAGTAAATTATGTAATGACATATAAATGTTAGCGCTTATTGGTTGCCTCATGTACCCTATACACCATAACTTAGCACTTACAAATCACTGCAAGAAATATTATTGATAGAATTGCAATACGCCAATCATATGGTATGTTTGGCACTTTCACCGGCGAGCCATTTTGAAAATATGCCAAATGTAGAAAACATATGGTATCATATTTAAATATTACCTTAATTATGTTCACTCGTGCTCTAAACCACAGTCGATATAAATAAAGTCACTAAAATGTTATTAGCTAAGCTGCTTGCATATAGTCTAAGTAATATGTATTTTGAAATTCCTATGGTAGGCCATTGAAATTCGCATGCCACGCCCACTTTTAAGGCCGATTTCGTGGCCGGTCACCTCTACTTCGCTGTTAAGCAGCCTATCCCTCACTCGCTCCTCGCCCCAATTGGTGTCTTTATCAAAAAGTGAACACTTTCCTCTTTTTGGAGCCCTAAACCCCTACTTATTATACCACACATGATGAGGTCGGTATTGCGGGCTGCTGTTCCTCCATCTATACGCTAGACTATATTCTAATCCTATCTGTAATGAGCTGGTATAGCCAACCTTCCTCGTTTGATCACCCTAAGTACAGGACTTACGAACTGCGCACTGTGTTATCGTGATATATTGGTGTTATAACGTCGGTTATTTAACTGCGGGGCTGGGTATCACTTGGGTTTTATCGGTTAGTACCGCCTGCGGCAAGCCCTGCCAGCTCCGTTGGATGCACCGGCCTCTCACGCCTCGCAGCTCTCGGTAGATTGCCAATGTAATGTCAGTTGCCGCATCGCCGCTAATAACCCCGGTCCCCCCCCCTGGCTTCGTATTTGACTATGAGCCTAACCATACGCCTCTTATAAACTTTAGTATCATCTTTATCTCCCCCCCGTACGTTGAACTTTCTTTTGTCACGCATAAGTACGCACAAACGCATGCACGAATATGGAAAGCGGTTTGTGCCAATATTCGAAACCCGCCGTTTACGTCGCGATAAACTGGGCCTTTTACTGAACGTAAAACCCAGCTTTATCGACGTAAAACCGGCGTTATCGACGTAAAACCGGGTTTTATCGACGTAAATCCGCGGTTTATTCGGCCGATAATTTGCATAGCTTTAATTTGCCCATAAAACCCGCCGTTTTACGTGATACAACCTGGGCTTTACGAATCGTAAACTAGGCTTTATCGTACGTTTAAAACGGCTCGTTTATCAATTAACTATCATATCGAAGCTGTTTGTGCCAATATTCGAAAACGGGTCTTCTAGACCGTAAAACCCAGTTTTTTGTGCACGCGCTAATAATTCGAGTAGGGAGAGCCTAGTGTAAGAATGAGGATAGGGGTGAAGTCTGGTGGAGCAAGGAGGAGGGGAGAAGCTGAGTGCATCCGAGAAGATAGGAGGGTGAGAGCTTGCCGTGCCGCATGCAAGGAGGAGGCGGCGAGAGGAGGGGGAGAAGCGGAGCTGCAGTATAAGGATGAGCGAAGCAAGGGAGCAAGCTGCGTGAAAAAGGCTAGGAGAGGAGAAGCTGGTTGGAGAACGGAGGCAGGGTGAGAATTGGAGAAGGTGCGTGTAGAAGCGAGGAGGGCGAGCCAAGCTGGTGAGAAGCGAGGAGGCGGGAGAAGGGATGCTGGCCTGGAGGAGGAGGGGGAGAGGGGAGAACTGAAAACCCAGTTTATCGACGTAAAACCGGGTTTATCAAATTAAACTATCAATATCGGGGCCGCATAACTGCGTGTTTTACGGTCGATACCGCCGATTTTACGCTCGATAAACTGCGTGTTTTACGCGTCCGCTAAAAACCAGTTTAGCGACGCCTAAAACGGGTTTTTCGAATTTGGCACAACCGCTTATCCATACACGCACACACATGCATCCTCGCACACACACACGCGCACGCATGTATACACGCACACACGCATGTATGCACGCACACAGGCATATATGCACGCAGACACACACCATGTATGCACGCACACACGCCATGAGCAGCACACACCTTGCTGATGTCAAACAAAACGCACTACGCGCGATAAAACAATACAAGTAAACCAGATGCACTAGTACTTGGAAAAAAGTAATAATCAATATATGATAATAATTTTATTAAAGTTTCGCCCAATCAATTCAAGATATCTGGTCGTAAAAAACAATCTATTTATTCTGAAAATCTTCATTCGTAATCGTTGCGTATGTACTATCTACGCACAATCAATATAAGTTTAATTCAAATCGCTGCGCAACATCGTGCACCTGCCCGCGATAGGTTGCACGTGCTGGCGTCTCGGTTCCAAGTAGTATCTGCAAGTTTCTAGTAATTAATTCTCGTCTTAAAGAGTCACACATCATTAGGTGATTAGCGAAGAAATTAGCCCAAATTTCACATCGCGCTCTTTTATAAATATATATATATATATATAGCATATACTAATGCTGTTATTGGCTGCGCTACAATAGTACACGAGCATTCGCATTACAAAAAGACATAAAGACCGAAGCTTATCGTGAACAGGTCAATGTTCTGTCGTACCTTGGTTGGTGTATTATAAGTACTAACAAAATATGTATGTCACCGAGATAGAGCTATAGACACATTCACATGTTGTTAGAAGCAAAAGATATGTAACTCTATAAATAAATAAGTAATGTAGTATCTATTAGACCTGACCAAACTCAGCAGGGATGCGAGACTGTACATAGAGTCAGCTACTCCTGCCCAGAATATTATAATATATTTATTTACGTCACTGTTTATTGAGTCAGATGCCTCCCAAAGTACGGCAGTTCTCTGCAGGGCGCCTGTATTAGCACGTAGAATCAGCTACAGTAAAGTCTGAGACTATACTCGGCAATAACTTGCAGTTTTATATCGTTGGATGCCGCGCCAAAGCAGAAATTGGAGTAATTCTTGATGCATGTTTGTCTAGCTGGTTGTGTTCGCTACGTTTGCTTTCTTCGTTAGACTATAACATTTTTCTTCAGGTTCATCAGACCTTGAATAAATGCTGAAGCCCCGTTCCTCTGAACTTCTCCTCGTAGATCTTATCCATCTTCTCGCTCTCTGCAACCTTGAAGTGGGTCTTCCAGCCTCCGGCGCGACCTGTGAGCAGTAAGCGAACAACTCATCACTGTCTTGGGTCGACGCAACAACAATAGATGTCTTAGGGAAATGCTTGTAACTGTACTCCCCAGCTACGATCTGCGACCTGCTATCATCAGCATCGTAAATAGATCATACTGTCACAAGTCTAGGATGTCATTACCTTGGTGAACGTGCACATGCTCCATGTGAACATGCAATGACTATGGCAAGCCAAAGCGGAATTAATTGCAGGACATACATTTTATACATTTTAACAAATTTTTAATATCAGGACTTTTATTTTCTTATTTGAAACACTTTTTTTCCATACTTTTTTCAAAAAAACCATGTCAGAATAAAATTATTATCAGAAGGAATTTACGATGTACAATTTTCAAATTCAATGTCAGGAATTATGTTTATTCTGTAAAAAATTTTCATATCAGGAGCCAAAAAATCATGTCAGAAATTTTTGTTCATCAGAAGGAATTTACGATGTACTATTTTCAAATTCAATGTCAGGAATTATTTTCATTCAGTAAAAATATTTTTATACCAGGAGCACGTGGCCTTGCAGGAGGGTGCCAGGAGCACGTGATCATTCAGGAGCACGTGACCGCAAAAACCGATGATGTCACAACAAGGCATATGTTCAGCAGTGGTGCCACTGATCTCTACTATACTAACTTACTACTAACTTAACTAAAATAGTATAGTAGAGATCAGTGAGGGGTGCAGCATTCCATCACTTTGGCTGCCTCGTGTGTCAGTGCCCAGATGACCCGACGTTGCGGTCACGTGCTCCTGAATGATCACGTGCTCCTGGAAGGCCACGTGCTCCTGGTATGAAAATATTTTTACTGAATAAAAATAATTCCTGACATCGAATTTGAAAATAGTACATCGTAAATTCTTTTTAATGAAAAAAAAATTCTGACATGATTTTTTGGCTCCTGATATGAAAATATTTTTACAGAATGAAAATAATTCCTGACATTGAATTTGAAAATAGTACATCGTAAATTCGTTCTGATGATAATTTTTTTCTGACATGATTTTTTGAAAAAAGTATGGGGAAAAAAGTGTTTCAAATAAGAAAATAAAAGTTCTGATATTAAAGATTTGTTAGAATGTATAAAATATATGTCCTGCAATTAATTCCGCTTTGGCTCGCCATAAATGACGTCTAGATTTATGATGTCATTTGGACAACGGGCCCCTGACTGTTTGATTAAACATGATCGCTTTCCTTTTTCATTATAGGCTGCTGATATTTGAAAAATATCCATATTTGGATATGTTCTACATCTCAGTTATGTGATGATGCGCGTTTGTGGCATCGAAACATGCTCGCAACAAACGGAAAATTACCAATCAATCAACGGACATCTATACAAACAATTGGAGCCAATATAACTAATAAAACATGAAGTAGAATTTTTATTACATGACTTAGTGCATTTATATGGATCGTGGAACGATTTTTCCTCTCTATAATTTAGTTACTGCAGCTGTTTGAAACTTTCTTGAAAATTGTGCGTAGATATTAAATAAATGAATAAATAAATGAATAAATAAACATATACATACATGAATAGATCTCTCTCTCTCTCTCTCTCTCTCTCTCTCTCTCTCTCTCTCTCTCTCTCTCGACGTCATCCTCTCTCTCTCCCGTCTCTCTCTCTCGTCTTTCTCTCTCTTTCTCCTCTCTCCTCAATCGGTCGCCGTCGTCTCTCTCTCCTCTCTCTCATTTCCTCTCTCTGCTCTCTCGGAATCTCTCTCCGTCGGTTCCATCTCTCTTCTCTCTCTCGCTCCGTCTCTATCTCATCTCGTCTCTCCTCTCGTCTCTCTCTTCTCTCTTTCTCTCTCTCTCTTTCCTCGAGTCTCTCTCTCTGCGTCTCTTTTTCTGTGTGTGTGAGCGTGTGCGTGCGTGCGTGCGTGCGTGCCTGTGCGAATGTATATACCGATACCTTTTCTGATGAAAGGTGCCGCCTGCGGAAACTTGATGCTATCCCAGGACGAATAGTTAACATGTTGTTGCTCTTCATTCTTCGTGAAGCTGCGTCTCGCGTCGTTATCTTATTAAATCTGGCTCTCTGTCAACTTCTTTCCGCAGAAAGTCGCGCAATGCTTCGACAGTCGTGATTTGCGGGGGTCCTAGCGTGAGTGATAGAAGACAGAACATGCAAGGGTCCTTGGCGAATTAATGGGAAGCCTCCGCATACAATAATATTACGAAACTACGCGAGAAGAGAGTAAGAGAGAGAAGCGAGAAAAGAGAGAGAGAGAGAGAAAGAAAGAGAGAGAGAAAGAGGAGAGAGAGAGAGAGCGAGAAAGAAAAAGAAAAGATAAGAGAGGAGAAAGAGAGAAAGAGAAAGAAGAAAGAAATGCGAAATACTATATGCACCTCGTTTAACGGTGTCTCATTTACCTCCGTGTTTTACTTAGTCAGACAAATCCGCTCAGAAACGTTAGCTTCTCTGTAAAATGGGGCACACACGGTGGCAGATAGCGTGTAGCGCGAGGTTGTGAGAACACAATCCAATAAGCGTTCCCGTATGTTGGAGTACCCAGAGTTGAAACACGCATTGTTATTTATTGCAAGAAATACGGCATAACACCAAGGTATTATGCTTATGTTATTATTCCTCTTGTTATGACCGTAATGATAGTACATTTACGCGTGCTAAACATTAACCTTAAAGCATATGCTTCGTAATTTCAAGAAGAGAATATTTATCCCAGTCTTTTTCCGCTCCCAGAGAATTCCAAGGTTGTGGGCCAAGTAGGAGCCAAAGGGGAGCTGTCAAATGTGTTTTTCACAATATTATTAATGCATTCTTATAAAATTTGCTATATATATTATGTAATAGTAGCGGCATTTTACGTGAAGTCCATAAAAGCGCTTAATATTTCTTAGAACTGTGATATTTCACAGCAGATTTCTCCTGCACGAAAGGTTTCAGAATAACGACTGGCGTCAAAATGGAAGCGAAGATTGAGATATTGTGAGAGGTCCATTTGCATATTCGGCGATGCGGTGGACGCCAGGTATGAAAAGCCCCAATGGGTCGAAGTGATAGAACGATAAGATTGCATCTTTCGGATTCCTAGTAAGCCGTAGAACGATCTAGAATGTGAAGTAACGTGTGCTGTTAGTGACCTATTACACCTGCATGGTAAGTCCACAGGCTCTATCCATGTAGGCCCTCGCGCTCCGCAACTAGACATGGATATGAATGGTTCAGTTTACCACTTCATGGACCCGGATTTGTGTTAGTCAACTTAAGGTTATCTGTTTAAGGTTGGGATTCAGGGTTAGACGTTAGGAGTAAGCGTTAGAGATTATGGTTAGGGCTAGAGTTTAGGGTTTATGGTTATGGCTTAGGGGCTAGGATTGGATTAAAGTTAGAGTTCAGGATAGCGTTAGGATTAGGATATGGTTAGGGTTAGGGTTATGGTTATAATTATGGTTAGGGTAGGGGTATGGTTAGGGTTGAAGGTTATGAATAGGGTGATGATTAGAGTTAGGGTTAGGCGTTAGGGTTAATAATGAATATTTATGTACGGCGGAGTATCCCATAGTGGAATAAGAGCCGGTAGAGATAATGCGATTACAGACACGACGAATGGATTTCTTTCTTTCGTATACCTCCTGCCCATATCAATTGCCGGTAATTCTAACTCTCATCCAGGATAATACGGCGCGATTCACA